GTAGAAGGTACGCGTGTATATAGACGTACGTCGCGTACGCGTCTCCTAATTGAAACGACGCAATCAATCCGCGGCGGCGAAACCTCGCCGGGCCGGCTGCCACTGTCGCGCGGCGGGTATCCGTACCGCATTATTACGATATTCGGATGTGCGCGTACGGTTTATAATGGCATTACGTTTAATTTCCCGCGCGCCGGCGCAATATATCCGACGGGTGTTCCGTCGTATCCCTTTTCCGAGCCGCGAGAACCGTTCTGTTCCGCGCGCCCCGCGGGAGCGCCGAGATTTCGGCCGGCGCGACGGCGACCCGTTCGCACTGACGCCTTTAAACGTCCACCGCGGCCCGCTAAATAAACGCTCGGCCAAACTGATATCGGGACAACGGAACGGACGCGATCGAAATCGTACGGACCACGGACGAGCGGGACGGACCTGGCGCAACGGACACCCGACCGGGGAGATAAGGAGTCGCGCGCGAGGTCCGTGGAGTTAGCGGGAACTTGAGAAGCGCCGTTTTCCCGCTGTACCGCGGAATCCCAGCGCTCGATTAGTTCGTTTAGAACGTACAAAAACACAAATGGGCGCGTCGTCCTATAATCTATGTCATCGGTTATCCGTGACTAGAAAAATCTCCTGCTAAAATTCGCGCTTCGGGTGCGCGGAAAGCGCGGATTCCCGCTATGCTTCCAAATTTTAGATTTTACGGACGTCGAACGAACAACACAACAACGGGACACTGCACCTAACACGAGACTTGACCGGAGAGATGAAGACGCGCGCACTGAGAATCCGTCACGCGCATTATACGCGTGTTCGTCTTATAAAAAAAAAAAGCAGCCTAAAATATGCCAAGGGTGTGGCGGTCCTACATCCATCAGACATAATATATTCACGGAATGCAAAGACACGCACGTTGACGCGCAAAAAATATGACATACCCTCCCGAACATCTTCACGGCTCACTCGGACCTGACGCAGACAGTGCTAAAAAAGTTACATTGTCCGCCAAACATTTCGAACCGTTTTTGCGCAATCAAAGAGTTAATTACACATCGTGTAACGGGTTTATTTTTAAAAAAAAAACCACCGACCAACGGTCGGCCTGTCAAAGCTAAAACTTATGTTGAAAAACGCTTAGGCCGTTACTTTAACAACTATTAAACAAACTTACTTTATTAATATTATAATTATTATTACTATCGAGTTACAATATAATATTATTAAACTTCACCAATTCGTCCAACGTTCCATTTGTGATTTCCATAACATCCTAACTTAATGTAATTACCAAAGGCTGCAGTTGTGTGTCACCGGGCTCAAACTAATAACGACTAAAAAAATGACAATTTTACTTTTTCGCCGTTTTTCGGTTTTTAGAGAATTTTTATAGATATTGTTTTGCTATAAGGCATTTTCGGCTTTTTATTTATAGCGTTTTTCGGATAGTTTTTTAGAAACTAATTGGTTCATAATCATAACCTATGAAATCGAAATCCGCGACCCCGTGACGATCAACGAATTAGTACGGACGTAGACTTTCAGTAATGTCTTTGAATAGCCTTTGAAAATCGTGAAATAAAAAAAGGCGGGGGGAGGGGGGTGGAATGTTGTTTTTTGTATTATTTACTTCACGAAACGGTTTTTCTACCAACACATTATCGCGGGCACATATTATAATATACGATCGGTCGGAAATGCGTGTCAGTTATAATAAATTATATGCGTGACTATATTATCCAAAGATATTCGAAAAGACGAAAAACGATCTTGCCAAAAGTATACGCGGAAATGTCGTCTGGCGCGCGGGCCGAAATACGGGGCGACTATATTAAAAAACAAGACGAAATATTTTAATAACGCAATCAAAGTAATGTTTATTAATTATTATTGATTTTTTTTTTTTGTTGATTTTTCATAATTATATTTATTATATTATCAACTGTTTTAAATACGCCCGTACTTCTTTGATATATTATCACCGGTATCGATTATTGTGATTATTGTATTTGACAAATACAATCGCAAATCGCAATCACTGCAATAACGAAACAACGAAAATCGTTTCCAACAAATTGATTTTATACAAAACATTTTCATCTGTATGTTGAAGCTATAAAATATTTATACCTAACCGAATAATATATAGGAACTGAATTGGCAGCGGCATAAAAAAATTCGGACGAAAAGCGTCCCGAAAGAAGTTCGCCGGGACAACAGCCCAGACACAAAGCCTGAAAAAAAAAAAACCACAGTCCTGCATAAAACAGGACGTCCGGTATGGCCCGACCGTTATAGCCGTTTGTCGCGGATTCTTATGGTTTTCGGATTAGCCGAACAAGTCCGATTTCCAAACTCATTTTCCCCGACCGTCAATGGTTTAGGATGACGGATCGACCGTAAATTATTATTATTACGCGATACTATCGTACTGTTATCATTACTGACCCGATATTTGTCAACAGAAATATGAAGGCAGGTACATACAGTGCACAGTATGTGCATTTCGGCCGTTCAAATTACAGTTATTTAATCGCGTAATAATACGTTTCGATACGATATGTACGTTTAAAACGCACGTGAACGCGCGTGTGGTCGATATCTACACCGGAAATCTGTGTGTTGGTAATTTATTGTATTGTTTTTAATGCACGCGCCGTTCAAATACACACCTAGTAGCCGTCGGTTTCCGCAAACGCATATACCGTATTCCAATAACAGCTGGAATGGATATAACACGAGAGTAACCTCAATATTCATAGTTGCCGATCGTCTAGTTCCAGGCACGTCCTCGTGGGGACAGAGCAATGGGAGCGATTCCCCGTCGCCAAGAGAAGCGGACTCGTATTTGGCATAGACGCTGGTCCGGAAGTAGATATAAAGGATTTAATCGATATATTATTCGACAACATTTCTTATAATCTGAGTGTAGCGGAATGTATATTGGTTTTACAAAGATATCTAATTTTTTTTATTATTTTATAATGTGACAAAAATTTCTACCAGAAATCTTGCACCGATATGTATGTGTGGCGCCATTTCCGAATTTTGTGAGTTATTTTTATTTGGTAGGTACTTTTTGGATGGTATTGTCCGACAAAACAGAAATACTTGAAATTTGAATAAAAATTAAAAAAAAAAACAACAAAAACAAAATGCGAAATAAACGACGAGACATCTTCTACTAATGACGAATGATTGTTATAAGACCACGGCTTTCGGGCGAAAAGTAGAGAGATTACGCGTGTAATACGATATGTCCAGGAATACGGAAATTATTATTAATGCGCTCCCGCATAAGGGAACGGGAATCGATTCTGTAATGTCCAGAGATTTCTGCGGAGAAAAGATAAGGAACGTATATATCAGAGGCGTATCACCCCGTCAAGTTAAGGGTCGAACACGGGATGAGGGTTCTTTTTTTTTTTTTTTTAGCTTTTCTAATAATTCTATGCGTTATCCACGAGTCGAATGTATTGTGTCGTAGGATTTTTCAACTGGACGCATTTTTGTTTGATTAATTCGAATATTTTCGTCAGGCTTTCGCAGCCACGTTACATCCGAACGGCCGTTACACGTTATTAAGAGGCCATTGTTTATATCGACCGTAAAAAAAAACGTTTTTCGAGAAATCGAAGCACACGTCCATATAACGTTTATACTTAAAGTCAATCGCTCAAAAATGTTACTGAGTGAAACTTGATTTTTTTTTTTCGTAATGAAATACTCCGTAAAACTATTCGTATATTCAATACGTTTCTGAGAAAAAAGAAAAAAAAAAGAAAGTATTTTTGAAATACGAAAATAAAACATAATACGCGGCGTTTCGGGTCGATTTCGGTGCAAATCGACTGCACCAGGTCATTCGTATCGTTAACGTCATCGTTGTCCGCAATAACGACCGCGTCGAAATGTTTCTACGCCCCGGAGACACCGTGTGTGTAATATGACACGCGGAATACGTTTCGTATGACCTCTGTACACGACAATAATACCGTGTTATAGTAATAATTATTGCCGTTCCGGTACGCGTGCATTACGAAAAACCGACACGTTATTACGTGTATACCGCATTTGAGCATAACGAGGAATCATGGCGGACATTCGGTCGCCGGTTCATAATACACGCGAAAATAACACACGCCCGGAGAGAAATATCGCAAAGTCCGTCGGGTTTTTCGTCGTACATCCTTTTTTTGGTTTCCGGTATAATATTAATATTGTATCTGTCTCCTCTCTACGGAACGCGAATTATCTCGGTATTTGTTTTATTGTTTTATTAGATCGGACGAGTTTCGATTGTTTCCGCGTTACGATACAGTTTAAGACATTCGTATTGACTTGAAATTTGTACAGACAACTTACATTTGTTTTTTTAGACGTGGTGCAATTGTAAAAAACCATTTAATCCATTTTTGAACGATACATAGACATTTAAATTTTGTGAGTAATTTGTATTTGTTAGTTGCAGAAATGCTGTATAAACAAGCCACGAACCCTTTCCGAGTTGATGGACGCGATTAGAAGAGAAATTGCATCAATTCCAGTGGAAATGTTGGAGAAAGTGATGAAAAACTTTGAAGAATGCATTTTCTGCACGGACGCTATCTATCGGATCTTCTATTTTAAACGTATTTTTTTTTTTTTATATCCAATACAAATTTGCTAAATTTGCAACAACTTGTTATTTATTTCCTATTTCTACCACAAAAATTAATATTGTGGTGTCAATTTCAAATGTGATCTTTAATTCTCCGACACCCTGTACAATAATAACATTATTAATATTATTGTTGGCCGAATTGAAATCCCCGGCGACGAGGTTCTTAAACAATAGTGCGTAATAGTTTACTATAGTTTCTCATCTCTATTCCACGAGTGGCAGTTAGGGTGGTCAAAACATTTTTTCTCAGATGTTCTGAATATTTTTTGGCTAAAATTAAAACAAACCAATTTTTATCGAAACCTGACTTCTTTTAAAAAATACTAACAGAAGCACAGTAATGCAAACCAATCGATTAGCTTTTTTCGGAAGACGAATTTTGCAAGCGTTCGTCCCGAAAGACACTGTCAGAAGCTTCAGCACTCCAAAGAATCCCGAAATAGGCGATTGGCCGAAACCCGCGCCGGACAATTGCCGGAAAAAACCCGCGGATTCAAGTGCGAAAAAACCCGAGGACCCGGGTGAAAAAAAACCTGCGGACTCCGGTGCAAAGAAATCCACGGACCCATGTGTGAAAAAATCCCCGGAACTCAGTGTAAATAAACCCGTGGACCCATGCGCTAAGAAACCTGCGGACTCTGGTGCAAAAAAACCCACGGACTTTGGTGCAAAGAAATCCACGGACCCATGTGCTCAGAAACCCGTGAACTCCGGTGCAAAGAAATCTGCAGACCCGTCTGCAAAAAAACCCGCGGATTCCAGTGCGAAGAAACACGTGGACCCATGTGCGACAAAACCTGCGGAACTTAGTGCAAAGAAACCTGCGGAACTCAGTGCAAAGAAATTTGCAGACCCATGCGCTCAGAAACCCTCGGACTCCGGTGCAAAGAAATCTGCAGACCCGTCTGCGAAAAAACCCGCGGATTCCAGTGCGAAGAAATACGTGAACCCATGTGCGACAAAACCTGCGGAACTCAGTGCAAAGAAACCTGCGGAACACAGTGCAAAGAAACCTGCGGAACTCATTGCAAAGAAACCTGCGGACCCATGCGCACAGAAACCCGCGGACTCCGGTGCAAAGAAATCTGTAGACCCGTCTGCGATAAAACCCGTGGATTCCAGTACAAAGAAATACGTGGACCCATGTGCGAAAAAACCTGTGGAACTCAGTGCAAAGAAACCCGTGGATCTCGGTGCAAAGAAATCTGCAGACCCGTGTGCTAAAAAACCCGCAGATTCTGGTGCGAAGAAACCCGTTAACCCGTGTGATAAAAAACCCTAACTCCCGTTCGCGATAAAACAAAAAATAAACGATTCTGTGCACGGATAAAAAAAATTATTTTTGAATATTCGATAAGTCTGTAGCGCATTTAAGGAGAGGGGTGCAGGAGATTAAAACGATATTCCGTGTCTTTTTTTTAGATTCTGTATGTAGCGGAAAATATATTGGTTTTATTAAGATGTTTATTTTTTTACTTTATTTTTTATTCTCTATACAAAAGGGAATGTTATTCAGATGATATTTTTAGGAGGTCATTTTTTGAACCTCCAATCGGTTTTTATAAGAACTGTGAAACCCTGGATGAAAATAATGGAAAAACGGAAAATGTACGAAATGTAGGTATTCTTAAGAAAATATTATGGCCTTTTTCTTTCTGTGTTCAACTTTCCTACCAGCAATTATTCTCCAATTTACAATGTTAGTATTTTTTCTGAAAGTAAATGTGACTGGGAAGGTACTTTATGAATATCATTTTTCGATTTTTTCAAAAGTTTTCACAGCATATTTGAAAAACTGGAGAAAACGGGAAAATCGATATAACATTATACAAATATTATTAATGAAAATCAATAATGCTTATTTCATTATTTTATCATGATATGGTATTTATTTTATTGTCAAAGCATCACTATCAACGAAACTTCGCTCAGAGTTGTTTTTTCGTTGGCAATGGTTACAGATATACATTCAAATACCTATAACAGTGGCTGCGTCCATCTTTACTATTCCAGGACGTCTTTTTATAAATGTAAATTTAAAATATAATATTTTCAATGATGATAATAATCATCAGTGTTATAGTTGGTTATATGAAAAAAAAAACAAAATCAAACGATGAAGCGCGGACTTTTTCTAAACAGAACTATAATATTACGCAAACGGTATTTTTTCCAGTGGTTCAAGGTCTCTAACAGTCTTTTTTTTTTTTTTAATAAAATTAACGTTACAAAATTTTTCTTAATCATATATGTAGCCAATTCATCAGAGCCTGCACCTACAATGCATTTGTTTTCCCCCTGTTGCTAACCCGACGTGTGAGTACAAAACTCACATAATATAAATGTCTATAAATAGTTCAAAAATGGAGACAAAATTTTTCAATTCTCCTTATTAATAATTCCATCAAATAAAACAAAATTTAAAATAATGAAATCATCATTTTCCGTACAGAAAATCAAAAAAATGACTTTCCTAAAGTACCAGTTCGACAATATTTTCTTTCATAAGAATGGTTACATTTGAAAATCGGAGTAAGATATCGGGAGTACAAATTGTGTACACTGTGTATATATATGTAAAAAATTCAATATCTTTGTAAAATCAAATCATTCTTCCCTAAACTCAGAATCTAAACATAATAAATAAATAGAATATTTCTAATGATGATAATTGGAAAAATTGGATTTTCTAATAATGTGCATACTAGCAATAACATAGCACATTGATACAGATGGAGAACAATGACGAGAACGAGTATTGTTTTATACAAATATTCATCTAATGTATTGTCTAATTTTACCGATTTTAACAACATATGTTCATTGTTTGATTTCGTTTTTTTTTTTTTAAATTTCGCGGATGATTTTTGAGCCAATAAAAGATGATATGGCAGGAGAGTGGAGACATAGAGAACATAAGGAGTCGCAAGTAATGTTCAACGAAAAGAAAGGTGGTAGAGTCTATCACGGAAGAAAGACTGTGCTTGACAGATTTTGCAGTGAGAAGTCAGTGGTGTTGTACCTACAGTACCCCGGCAAGGAAAATACCTTTGTGAAGACCGAGATTGAGATGAGTGGATACAGTTAAGAAGGACGTGGAAAAATTGAAAGGCGGATCAAACAGGAAGGATCTAGCAGTGGAGAGTGATGATTGGAGAATTGGTTGTGAGACAAGGGTCTAATAAACCCCAACAAAAAAACCAAATTTATAAAAGTAACGCGTACCTGTATATTATACTCATAATAAGTCTTTGATATTTATAACACTAAAAAACATGAAAACATTTATACACATATTTTTTTATAAAAACAAAATATACACACTAAAATTTATTTTTTATTAAAACTGTATAATAAGTAGTACTCAACATCCAACTAATTTATTATTATTATTTTATTTTTAGATTCTGAGTGAAGGGAAGAAGCTTATGGTTTTACAAAGATGTTTATTTATCTGTAAACAACTTTTTTTCAGAACTTTCTACCAGAAGACTTGCTCAGATTTCTAAATGTAATACCTTTCTTGAATGGAAATTAGTGGGTAGATGATTTTTCGATTTTCTCCAGGATTTCTACCAGGAAATGTGTAAAACCGGGATAAAACATGGGAAAACCGGGAAAAACGTAGGGAAATTGGAAAATTCGGTCCAACATTAAACTTATATTATTAAAAAATATATAAAAAGCTTATTTAATTATTTTACAATAAAAGGATATATATATATATATATATATCAATATATATATATATATATATATATATCAATATATATATAAATATATATATTGTTGACAAAGCATCGACATAAACTAAGGTCCGCTCAGAATCGTTTTATCGTAAGCAGTGGTTTATCGTTGCTTACAGGTATACACTAAATTGTCTATAACAGTGGTTGCATCATTCCCCGTTATCCTAGGATGTTTTTTTATTAAGTACACATAGGTTAGAGCGATTCTGTTAACAGGTATACTTAAAATATTTATATATGCTTCTATACTTATATTTTAAAATTTATGTTCAGTATTATAGTGGTATTTACATGAAAATTATGTACTCTGAGATGAATAATTAGAAAGTTATGGATCAAACCCAATGATTGAAAGAGCAAACATCTTTGTAAACCTAATTGTTTTTTAACTAAATTAACTATTTTACGACAGTACATTCGACAATGCTATGGCACGTCGGTGCGTATGAATTTGAGCAATGCACATCGGTAAAAAACGTATATAATACGTTACACATACAATAATATAAAATATGGTGTTTTTTATAGTCCTGTTAAGCTACACACTGCTAATGTAATATGCTCTAAATAGTAAAAATTGTAAAATATGCAAAATAAAATTAATAGGATTTAGATTCCTAACACGACGAACAGTCTATTTTTTTGTTTGACCCTGCTATGTTATTAATCTTTCAAAAATAGTGTGCCAATGCTATGAAAGCCCTTAACCATAAAGTCACGGTACCAGTCGTACTCTGAGCGTATCCAAACTAGAGTAGATATATCTTGTTATAACAAGGATATATAATGATATATAGTGGTGGTTTAATGTAACTACCACTTGATTTTGTTCAATTTATTAACGCGTACTTCTTTTTGTCGGTGTTTCGACGCACGAAAGGGAAAAAAATACAAAAATATTACCTGTTTTTAAAAATATTTTCGTACCTGAGTATCGTCGATGGACACGAAAAATATAAAATTTGTTCACGATTATATTATATTCGATTACTTTACATAAAAAAATTCTGAGTATCTTAAAGTGTTTCGGGAAGCACAGATTTTGTGCAAACGGAAAGTTATTATGACTTAACAACCGCGCGCAGAGTTTGTTTAAACAAAATATTTCGTTTTTTCCTTGCCCATTACGCCCAACCGAGTGTCTATACACAATATTTAATTGAAAAACTTGAAGCCAAGAGTCTCGGGAGTATCGAGCTGAGCAGCTCGACCATCGTTACAAAAAAAAAAAAAAAAAAAATGGTCGATCTTGACATTAATAATATGGGCATTCGTATACAATGCGATATTTGTACGCGGGATACGCGGCGAATTGATTTGGGCGCATGAAAAGACGTATGTGATGGACGAGACGGGATGATGAAAGTTTATAAAAAAAAAAAAAAATAATAAAAAAAAATTCGACGTGAATGGGTCGAGGGGGCTGGAAAAAAGGGTGCCGAACAAAAAAACAAACCTCCGAATATATATTCAAGAGGATTGGTGCGGACGACGTTATAACGGTGAAAAGCGCGGGGATCGAGATTCGGACGCGGAAAAAAACGCCCGAAAACCGGAATGACAATGCACCGTCGTGTCGGGCCGAGTAAACATTTTTATTTTCCCCCCGATGGGCTCATATAATAATATATTTTTATGATATTCCGTTAAATAGTTATATAATATTGCATTGGTATCTAAAAAAAAAAAAACCACTCGGATTTCTGTCATTTCCCCCGACCCGAAAATAAGTAATATTAGTCGTAATGTTTATGATTAAGTACGCGTATTATGAAACTATATAACATTATTTTCGAGTATTGTCGGTTTGTTTTTTTCTATTTTCGAATAGTACGTTTAGTCCGCACCTAAACCGATGCGACCATTCGTTTGGATACCGGGTGTAGTGAAAAAGCTTGTTAGAAAGTTGTTAGAATTGGTCAGATTTTTCACGTAGTACATATATTGAAGATTCAAAATTTTCACCCGGTCAAAACGGTCTGCTGCTACAGATTCGCGGCAGTTTTTCTAAATGAAATCGAAAAAAAAAACCATACAAATTATCGACAGCACACCACGTGACGCATCGCTGCTATTATTTGTGTGTAATTGATTAATTATAATTGATCACGGTTACCTTGACTCTTCGCGGGGGACACTACAGTACCTTATGGTTATCCGGTTACCGGTTTCCGGGGCTCTATTCACAATCGTTTTTTGACCGTTATGGTTTATCGTAATGGTGCGAATCGCGCGAATTAAATTATTCTATTCATCCCGCAGTACGAATACCTTACGAAAAACTTCCTTCTCACAACATCGACCAAACACCTATACGCTATGAAATACGTCCGTTACGCATACATATTAAACCAGTAGGTCACTTAGTTATTTATGGGGGTTGAAAATAAAATGTCGGTTTATCCCCCTCCGAAAACGATTGATACGTAAAATATTGATATGCATACAGATTTAAAGTATAATCGGTTTTTATAATTTTAAGTCCATTTCGGCACCCGATAGTTTTTTTCCGATTGTACCGAAAATTCATGCA